AGATTTCTATTCATACTTACAGTGATTGTAGCTCATTTAAACCTYTAAATGCATCCTTCCCAATGACTTCGATACCATTGAATGACAGATTACTAGAGGAAGGCAAAGAACAAAATCAGAGTTRCRKCTCGCTACGGACAATGGCGCCGGATATTTCGGCAATTTTAGAGGTTTTCCATTTTGCTATGAGATAAAATTTATCAGTTGGTTTTGAATACTTACAGAGAAAGAAGACTTGAAAATCTTGAAAATGATAATGGTTGAATGGTGTAAAGCTGTGCGGCGAAAACATCCCTAGCAAACAAAACGATGTCATTAGTGCCCAATGAGGATAGAGAGATAGATGGCATTAACCGGCCAGGATCCCGAGCGGCCTTCATTAACCGGCCAGGATCCCGAGCGGCCTTCATTAACCGGCCAGGATCCCGAGCGGCCTTCATTAACCGGCCAGGATCCCGAGCGGCCTTTAAGGGCCGCATTTCGGCACATTACGACATGAATAGGAACAGAAGCTGGCTCATCACAATACTCCAGTTTCGAATTCTCTTTGTGCAATCTTATTTCAATCAAGCCTAAATTTTTATTGTCTCCTTTGCACACAGAGAGTTTGCATTACATTAGGATCTCTGCTGAATAAAAGTATTTATCTTATAATTATCTACGATCGAAATACCTATGTAAATCCGCCATTTCGTAAAGTTGATATTTTCACACATTTGCGGTTTCTCTATATAGTGCAAGTAAGAAAAAAGGTATTTTACGACATAATCTGCTTTCATATACAATTATATGRTAAATAGAATATTACATGGTCGATTGGAGATACGAATTTTATCTTCTGGTGTTTGAAAATCTCTTTTCAACACTCAAAGATATAAAATCCGTATCTCCGCGCGCCCATGTAATATCCTCTATATATTACATGCTTTCGAGGTTAAGGCTGCACAATTAAGATACGAAACTGGAGTATTGACATAGAWGGCTTATGCTTATAATGTTTTGCCGCGGTTTACACTGATATATAATTTCTTTAACATAAGCACACACAGAAACACAAGGAAAAGGAAACATTTTTCATTTTCTTATGTTTCTGATCGATTCTGCTTACGTTTCTCCAGTTCACAAGTAGCTAGAAAAAATGTGTATGTCGCACTGTGATCCAGCCCTATCGTTGACGGAGTCTTTATTGCCGTTCCAATCCTATCACTTACGGAAATGGAATATTTTACTATAGTGCACAAATACAAAACACTTGTAAAAGATTTCTGAGGTATACAACCCAAATACAACTATTGCAACAAAGAAAGTTTTCATCATATTATTTAGATTGCGTTCTTCATGAAAAAATTRAAGTAGGATTTTGATTTGTAATCTATAGGGTAATCCTTTTCATCCAGCGTTTGTTAATCTTTTTCACCGTTTAATTGATCAAGTGGGTTACTATAATGAAAACATTTGAGAAATGGTTTAAATTCTAATCTGCCGGCAATCAAGTTTCTATTGATATGCAAATGGCGCTATCGATACAATTTGTACTAACTAAATATCAAACGTTGAGGATTTCCACAAAAAAATCCGTTTTTGAATCTCTTTTGTTGGGATTCAAAACGATGAGCAATTTCTTCGGTTTTATTCTTTCTGTTGTACTTTTTGTTAATAAACGACAGTTAGCTAGCTTTTCAGTTTAACTAAAAACCAAACAATAATACGGAAAAGAAACAAACCCGAAAGGGGAAAAAAATTGTTCCGATTTTGAATTGCAACAATTAACTTCAAATATACCTGTTTCAAAAAAGGTTGTCGGATAAAATGGCGAATGTCAATTGTCGAACGGCGATTGCACGATCGAAAGTAGTCATGGATTTTTCTAATTAATGAGAAATAACAACTGATTTATACTGTAAGATACTTAGTCTGTGGTAAACATTGGCTAGATTTAGTCTCCATTTCTATGTATGGGGAATCCAATAAGTAAAATTTTGTCAAAAAAGTGTAACCATAGTTCCTTTCGGTCGTGCATTCTCCCTTCGACAATCGTCGTCCGGCGTTCTTCCCGACAAAGTTTTTTGAAATAGGTGTATACGTACGGAATACAGATCAACGGAGAAGATCAGAATTGAACGGCAATGTTCGATATCAATAATGAATCTCTCAAATCCCTTTTCATTTTCTAATTTTTTCACTAAGCTCTAAAAAGCTTTTGATAAAGAGCTTTTGACGTCAAACAAGGTGTTTGCTTATCGAACTAAACTGATACAAAATTCAAGGCGTAACAATGCATGATTTAAACAAACACGATATAGAGAAATTATTTCGCCCAGTCATAAGTATTTTGTCTTTCCTTTTAATTTTTCAGTTCCCTAACAAAACATGCAATTATGAAAGAAGCTACSCCATTACTGGCTGCATCGCGTGTCGAGATACTGTCTACTTAATTTAAGTCTCAAAGAAAGTATTTACCATAATTAAAGCCCTTTTGAATATCTCATCGCACCGAAACCAGGACTATGTTTATGTATGAATGCTATGAAATTATTTGACACAGYGGGTCGTCATGAAACCAAACGCTTTGATAAGTCTTGTAGGAAACATAGTCAACCTGCCAGTGAACTGCCACCAATCCATCAGTCGAAATAGACTTCATTATTTAACCACTACTTARACATCTTGTCGTTTGATATTTGATCATTTGGGCTCGTTTAAGGAAAACTAGAACACTGACAGCATGAAAATTAATTTGCTTTTCACGAAATGGAAGTCAAAAGATATGTTACACTAAAATATTAGATAGTAAAAAATAAACCAATAAAACAGGAGCAGAAAACCAAAAGAGTTTTTTTTTCCATTTCATCAATTCTATTTTTGGTTTTTAGAAGAAATACCAACTTAACAACGAAAATTGAGCTGTTTTTATACCGAGTTAAAAGAAATACGAGCGAAGGAATTAAAAAGGAAGCTATAGTTCTTGCTTTATTGCATCGCTGAACTGTAGTTCTATTCGCAAAGGTTGTTTTACTGCATCTATTTATTTATATATTTATTAGCAATATTTCAACAGGCCACCCAGCGACTCGCTATTTGCAGACGGAGTACATCTGGAGCATTTCATCAATCAAAATTACTTGTTCTTGCGTAATACATACTTTGAAATTAAGTTTTTGTTAGCTTTCTAACGAGGTACGTGTCAATAAAGTATGTTTTACGTACTATAATCACTCAGTATTTTTATTACTGATAATTATTTTTTCTTAATTGCTTTTCGTGTAATTTTCCTTTCCGGTTTCCTTCAAAATGCGTCAGTTGAATCCTATTATTAATYCATATCTTTATTTCATCATCAACTGAAATTTTTTGGACGACAGGATACATAGAGGATATTTACATGGGCGCGCGGAGATATGGATTTTATCTTCGAGTGTTGAAAACGAGAAGATAAAATTCGTATCTCCAAGCGACCATGTAATATTCTGTTTATCATATAATTACATATGAAAGCAAATTATGTCGTAAAATGCTATTTTCTTACTTCCACTATATAGAAAAACCTCGAATGTGTTATTTTCACTATAAAACAATATGTTATTTTCACTAGTGAAAAGTACCAACTTTACGCAATGGAGAAATATAGGTATTTCATAGATAATTATATGATAAAATACTCTGGTATATTACGCTATGAATTTTTTGTGCTCTCTTCATTTTTTGTGCTCTCTTATAAATATGAACTTCCTACCTATTCCCATTCCGTGAGCAAGATTTTCCGTTCAATTCAATATCAATTCCGTTTATTACTAAAGAGACGATCGAATATGAAGTTAGTATTGACCTTTTTGGATATGCCTATAAATATCAGGCATGCACACAATGTTTCTAAAATTAAGCCAAAATATGTATGAAATAAACTGCAGACCTAATTAATTAATATATAAAAATATACATTTTTTAGATTCAACACAAATACAACTGCTCACAGAATTCCATCCCCCCYCTGGCAGTCGGTACAATATGCATTTTTKACTTACAATTCAGTAACATTTCTTGGTTGTAAGATAAATTTCGATAAGTCCTCGATSTTCTCCACTCGACACGAAGCTGAAATGCTGTTGCCSCCAGTTTTCTGACAAACGCATGGAGGCAAACAGCCCGAATCCGAGGAGTTTTGGCTTTTGACAAGGCTAACACAGACGAATACAATAACCAGCTGTTCTTTAAGTAACATTTTCATGATCTGGAATCGAAAAGAAAGCGTTAAAAGCAATKAAATTTGATAAAATTCTTCATTATTACTGAGCCATTTCTATGCAGAAGTTTCTTTACCTTTAGCTCGTGGCGGGGCTACAGTTTCTAGTACCAATCATCTGGAAAAGAAAACTTGTTAAGCAATGCAATGTAGGACCATGTAGTCTACTCAGTCAAAAACGTCATGTGAAAGTGCTCTKTTCTTAACCATCTTGTCTTTTATGCTTTTTTAATTGAATTTGGAAGTTAATTAGATGGGTAGAGTAAATGCAGCTTAATATGGCCATTATCATAAATATAGCAGAAAAAATTAATAAAGTTACGAAATTTAGTTTTGTCAGTTATATTTAGGGACGTTATTTACCTATTTCATCCACCAAGATTTATTTTTAGTTGCCAAAAGGGATGGATCTAGCAATTTTTACATCGTCTGTGCATTAGCACCGTATTTTTGACATATTATTAAAACAGARAATATGATTACTCAAGTCCGCGCAGATACCCACACCTTACGTCTGGCATTTGTAAGTGTTGTTTTTAAAATAAGAGTGCATATTTATCGGGATTTTTACATWTAGAGCTTCGGGCGAGATAGTATAATCACAACATAAGCCGAAAAATAAGAAAATATATAAAAATGCGCATACTGAATTAGCTTCTGATAAGCATAAGAATTTTGCTACGTACAATTGTAGGCTTTATGATCCCACATGGAAGACCGCCTAGCGCTGTGGTATATATAGTAAAAGTCTGTTACAACAAAAAAAACACATCTAAAATCCAGCAATCTTTGTGATCATGTAATGTACTGAGATCCTTGCTACAAAATAGCAAAAAAGCGTTTTGAATCTGATAAGAACAGTCAAATGACATTTCAGATCTTCATAAATATGAYAAACAGCTTCGATCCTCAGGCAAGAATTTATTTAATTTTTATACCTGATCAAAAACTCTCTCTATATATAGTTCTATATGCATCTTCTAGTAGATACAAAAAGTGTCATCTACAATCGTAAGAAACTGAAAATTTCACGTAAGCAAGTAAAAATGCATGCTAATATATGCGAAAATAAATCTGTGACCATTCCCAGATGGTTRAGCTGTAAGGAACTTTTTGATATGATGCGACACTGATAATATAACATCAGTTCTATACTTAAAGGCGGAGAAATGCAAGATACAAAAAACCTCACATACTCAGGCAACAGTTGTTGCAATTCAAGTTTAGCGTCAGTCTCGTTTTTCATTGACTCAGTATCAGTTTCTTAATAAAAAACGGAGTACCCWACGAATCCCTGATATCGGGCTACGATTTTCATTACCTGTTTTCATGGCCTTGAATTCATGGCTCGTTCCAGCCACGTGTAGCGTGTAGTTTATGTAAKGTTATGTTCCAATCACGTTGCCMATTTGTACTAAAATCCATACCCACTTTTGTAAAGGTTATTTTATTATCTACATATATTATTTGATCAAGTAATGAGCCAATCAAGGGGAGTTAGGTGGGCGTAAGGTTACCTAGCCATCGATGGGCGTTCCTCAGGCAGTTATTTTGGGTCCCAAAACATGAGTATTTATCAATTATTTTTAACTCTTTGAAATGACAAGTGAATCTCCATGAAACCAGAGTAACTACAACGGAAGTCTGGAAATACGACAAGTGCACAAAACTGTCAAAACCAAGGCACATATTCAGAATAATGGATCGTYTAAAGTCAAATGTGATGTATTAATAAGTCTGCAGGATGGATATCTGTCACTTGGTAACTGAGCGTAGAAGATCAAAGCCCCAGTAATGAATATCATGCTTTGTGCAACCACAGCTCCTGACGGCCATATTTCATATATGAAAATTAAAGATTAAAATTTGCCGACGGGACAGCTTCAAGCAGAGATTATGGTTACCTGCCGGGCAATGATCAAATCATTACGAGTTGTAAAACTCAGCCGCGATCATGATCGCCAATAAATGCTGTATTTTATGACTCAGCCTCCTCTTCCTCCCCTCCGTTGATCAATTTTTTGTCTCTTTTGTGCTTGTGGATAAACTACATCCCTTCCTTATGATTCGCCCCCAGTTTTTTGTTTTATCGCACTAAAGACGAAGTCCTTATTGAAGTCATAGAAAGCTCTGGAAACTCAAATCTTTGATTGCGCGATCCCGGTTTCATAGATACTTGAATCATGAGTATATATACTTTCCTGTTCCACTTTGGCCACACGATATCATTCTAAACTGAAAAGTGATGCAATATCTTCCGATTAAAACTCGATGATAAATGCGCATGTGATTAAGCAAGTAAGTGTGCGAGGGATCGAGTGAGGAAGTCTAYAATTGGYCATTCTGTCTGATAACAGTGTCGACAATGTTTGAAATAATTGACGACGACATTTGGCAAGCAAATTAAGCTGAAAGTAAAGGACAAAAAATATAAGAGTGCAAAATGGTCGTAAGGAAGGAACTCAAGCAATCAAAAGTGGAAAACGGAAAAGACAAAACGGATTGTTGTTTGAAACAACAAATTGAATTTGAATTGAATTTGAATTATATCCAAAGCCATCGGTTTAAAATTCATAATCGGAACACTATCTTTTAAGGCGAACAATCTAAAGATGCTTCGAAATGCAAGATTCTATATTCATTGACATGATATAAGACATGCAAGCAGCATCTAGCACTATGTTCGCCAAATGATGCCGACGAAGATACAAATGGCTGGGGTAATTACTCGCATTGACTTCGTTGCATGTGGCATTCGTCGTCTGAAACAATCGCATCAACACTGGCTTACTCTTAAATGCAGACTGATATAAATATTAATACTAGACAAAATTGACGGGACTATATATAAATAAAAAAAACATATTTAAGGTGGGCTGCTCAAGGAAACCGCTTGGAAACCATTGTTGGTRCCTAAATATAGGATTAAAAAAACTGGATACGAACGATACTGAGTTCTCATAATTCAAATTAATTAATGTAGCTTTACCTCTTAAAACGCATGTAGCACCCAACGTTTTACAACTGTCAGTCTGATAGTTTGTTTGACTTAACTCAGGAACAAACTTTCATAAAATATAATGAAACCCCCGTCTGACGTCATTCCCTTCCGTGTTACTTGTCCTTCAGTTTCAAGAATTGGTAAGCAATTTTATTCATTAATAAACTTGAACGTTTAACAGTGTAGCAGCRCAACTACCGCTCATAGATAATTAATAACTCTACTTTTAACTGAATTCGAGTAAATTATGTGTTGTTTCAAAGCTTAAACGCTTTTCTCTTTCAAGCAGTTTTGTTGAAGTTTATTTGAAGACGACGCGCGCGTCATAGTTTTCCCGCTCTTTTTGTCTAAAGCGAAAAAAAATCCATTAATCTAGGAAGACAGCTAAAAACTTCTAATTGCTGAATTCAGACTAAATAGGACAGTGGACATTAACAATGTCGACGCGTAAGTAAATGTTTCCTCTAAAAGTAATAAAATGTTTGAAAAAACAAAAATACACATTGTTCGCAAATGTAAACAAGTCTTCCTCTTAATATTATGTGTATTGTTTCAATACTTTATTTCGTCTTCTCATTTCAAGTTTTACATCTATTGTTTGTACAGTCTCGGTTTTTCTAGCACTTAACTGACGTAGGACTGAGATAGCAGTTTTATCTTCGGAACTAAGTTCTCGAATTAATCTGAAGTCATATATTCCTTGGGGYTGTCAGCTMTCTGGATTAGCAAGGGGTCTCAACATTGTGAAATTGCCATGTTAATTGTGAAAATTGCGAAGAATTGACTTTCCTCCTAAGAAACCACTTGAAAATCACCTTAAGATGGCGGAAATTGGATAAGCTTCATGTCAGGGGCAATTTTTGCTATATAATGCATAATGGCGGATTTATATRGGAACTCAATCCCTACAATATTCTGGGTTTGACATGCATTTGTAAGGAAAAATTATAAAKAATCTACTTTTCTTCCTAGAAAGTACTTGAAATACTCTAAAGAAGGCGGAAATACAAAGATCYTCAAAGATCCYCAATGTTGGGGGCCAGTTTTGGTTGTATATTACAAAATGACGGACTCAAGGTTTATTCTTTTATTTGGTGGACACCTTGGAATGCCATTTTGAAAAATTAAACTCGCTCCTGGTTTTTTTCATTACCTTTGCCGTGAATTCATCATGACTTTTGTTTTTGTGCAAAGATAATTAAACATCTTTTGAGTACTGCAGTGTTTTCTATGTTTGTTTTTTTTGCTTCTACTCTTGAAYGTAGTGTTTTCGTATTTAAAAACATACAAAGTTAGCTTTTTGGAATGAATCCCTAGAATTCGTTACAATTAAAGATCCTCTATTAACTTTAGAAGTTTATTACATGTACAAAGAGTTTTCTCGGCATGGACTAACTAAAAGTGTGCWTCATGATCATCCATAATTRAATAAGGAAAASGCGAATAACAAAATCTCAAAATTGTTTTAATTTGTTCGGTTCTAAATCCCACTTCGTTTGTTTTGTTTGTAGGTCATTTTAGTTGTGTAAAAGTCTCGTTTGCATATTTTGTTAATTTAGCATTCTCTAAGCTCCATGCGTGCTCATTAATTTTTCGTGATTGCTTGACTTTCTCGCTGTGAAGGGGATTTCTATCGATTTCTATGTTTTAGGATGGCGCTTATTTTCCGAAATTCAAAGTAAACCGACAACCAATGTATAAATCATCAAATTGATTTTTTTTAATTTTATCTGATGATTTGAATCTTCTTTTTCTTGATTAATGGTAGCAAAAATAAATTCAAATCTACAAATGATAACACCGTAACAAGATATAGCAAGAGAGCGRTTTAGGTTTTGAGCAAACTCGGYATGAAAATGACTTATTTTACAATTACATGCAGTCAAAACAATGGTGCAACTGCRGTGAATACAGATATCGGAACTGTTAACGGCTTCATTGAACTATTACTTCAATTCCCGCAATCGTCCGAAACCAATATATAACACAAAACRCATACATACTTCTATTTTTGAAGAAAGCTTTTTCTTTGCAAGTATTCAAGTCACTTTAACGTGGTAGATTCTTGCGTAAGTTCAACTTCCCAGTACTTTGAATTACTTTAGAATTCAACATGACCCAGGCCTTAACTCACTTTGAGATGTCTACAAAAAATAAATACATATATTACACAATAATTAATTGTAAGCCAAAAAAATACCGTCCTCACTGACTTTCTAGTCTTTAAATGTTCCCTTTCGAATAATTCTATTGTTTTTTCTATTGTGTGCGAAACCACACGTTAATGTCGATGCTGCACCATCAGATTTAAAATAATGTGATTTAGATGGGCTAGTCCCTAGACAGTTTAAGTGATTTTATTGCCTTTAGCGGATCCGTCAAAGACTGTTTACCCATTTAAAGTGATCAGTCAAGGTGATTTTACTCAAATCGCTGTTGCTGGGTAACGGTTAGCGTAGCTATATTTTGTTCGCAGCAGTGAATAAATTGAAGAAACGCTCCATTCCATATCAATGMGCTTTCCTAGCGTTTACGTCCTCTGCGTCTGCAGTCTTTATTKCCGTAACGGTTATGTGCGTCTAGCAGTTACGTTTTTTTAATGATTACGTGCGTCTCGCACGTCTCAGCCCATTTTCCAGCGATTTTGCGCGTATCGCAGCATTTTTTGCCATAACGATTGCCTGCGTTTCTTTTGCAGCCTCTTAACGTTTACGTGCGCCTCGCTTTCTCATTTCCTAACGGTTATGCGCGTCTCGCGGATTTTGCCTGGCGGGATATACGTCACGCAGCTAGTTTCTCTTTCATATCAATATTTCAAAGTTTCTTAGCAAAGGATACGAAAATTCATGACTCACCTTCAAGACGACAGCAACTTGCATAAAATAAAACACAGTGCGATCTCGGGCAATATTAGTATAACTGTCTGATTTCGATCTAAGTAATGGTGATTAGCAAGGAGAAAGATCTAGGTAAAAACGTGGTCGGATTTAATTATAAAATGTCAAATTTTTGCTTAAAATGACGATGTTTTCCTATTTGTCAAGTATTCATTAATCAAATGTTATTGCACTCTTACCGTTGTCAATGTAATTTCAAGATATTTTGTCCTGTTATCCTTCCTGTATTTTGACGTTTGTTTTCATGTCTTTCTTTTCTCTTCATTCTTTGAGTTTTTTGTTTATTTCCTTGAAACTAGGCTTAACAGTCATCTCACCGCTTACATATCTTTCTTCAAACTATTTTGTTTCCCCCTTTTAGTCTTTATTCTTGAAGCATTCAATAACATAGTTACCTTCATATAGAGCTTATGGAAAATTTCTTCCCTGACTTAAAGTGCTTTCTCTAGCTCCTTCAGTTGATCGCATTCTGCTTCTAGATTCCCTTCAAAAAGGCAATCTAAATTATCAGACAACGGTTATTAAAAGGTTCTTCGCTTTACTGGAGTGGCTTTTATGTAGGCGTTCTGAGTCTTCACTCTCGGAAAACTTGTACAATTTCATTTATCAGTTTTATGTATGAGATCACGATGTTAAATTACATTCACAGCAAAATAAATTTTGATATAAAGCTCGATTAATAATTCGTTTTCCGGTCCTATATCTGTAGAACAGTGTGCGCTCTGGTATGATGGCGCGCGCGGTCCTTTTGCGTATAAAATCTATAACTATGTCACACAGTTTTTTCAATTTGTTCATGTGGCTTACACTTGTAAATTATTTTGAAGTCCCCCAGGATGATCGATTATAATTACAGTAGTTATTGACTTTGGTACATCTGTATTGAAATAAAGTAGAATTGATTGATGGTTTATGTTAAGACCACACAAAAACAATTGATAAATAACTCTTGAAATGAAACTTAGAAAACGTTGTATAAACGTTGTAATTCCCACTGTATTTATTCAATTCTTTCGTAATACTAAGCTCAATAATCCATGGGCTCTTTTAAACTGGCACTGTCCATCCGGTTGTCAATTCGATGGAACACGTAATGGAAAGCGCATTTTCCAATTGAAATAGAAATGAATGCTTAAAAAACAGTGTAACTCGTAAAACTCGTTAACTGGTGTAACTCGTTGTTGGAAGAGCGCATTATACAATTAAAATAGAAATTAATGCAGAAAAAAAAACTTGTAGAACTCGTTTCGTAAATTGGTGCAACTCGTAAAACATCTTGCGTCAGGACCTTGATGAATTTTCATTCTTTATAACTCAATGTCATTTCATTCCTAGAATTCTTGTTTTTATTTCTATTCGTACCCTGCGAACAGAGTATYATTTACCTTACCTCAGTAAAAAATTTTCCTTCGCGAATTTGTATTGAGGTAAGGTAAAATACACTCTGTTCGCAGGGGTATTCTATTCGTTCCTTTTTTTCTGGTGCTGTGTATGATTTACGACGTCCATCTTGAAGTGTCAGCATCCATCACACTCTTCATAGCCTCGTCATTAGCCTTTTTGCAAAGTGACAGCACCTCTGAAACAATTAGTACCGTTAAGATTACTTAAGGACGCTTTCTATTTACCGCACAAAACTGATCGGTCAGACACTCAGGTATATTCAACAGGAAATAATGGAGATTGGAAAAATGGAAAGCGTCCTAGAATGTTCAATGCAGTTTCAATTAATAACGTCGGTGCGATATATCAAGGGATTGACGGAAGTACAAGCTTTGACATGCCGTTTATCGATCGCGTTTTTAGATTTTTAAGGCCGTTTTTCGATCAATAAGCATTCGTTATCTTCCGGGATAGGTCTTTTAACATAAACTCGTGTGTAGGCAATTATTTAATGCTCTTTTGTAGAAATCTCAGCCAATCAATATCGTTAATTTCGGAAATAATGTTCTTTCTCCCTAGTTTTTATTTGACACCGCCATTTTTGACATTTTCTTCATGATGTAACTTTGATATATTTGTGTTATTGGAAAAAGGAAAACACCATCTCACCATTAAAACCAAGTTCAGCTTCCTCCACGCTTCTGTTAGGTGCTTTATCRGACTTTATCCCTGCAACAAGGAGGCAATTTGGTAAAAGCTAATAAGCCTATCTAGAAAATCTAAAAATCACTAAAAACAAATGCAATAATGTAGGATATTGCGCAGTCCATACCTGTCTGCCATGGAACTGATTTGTATGCAAAGGCGTCACCAAAACTGACTGCGCATTCTTACGAAAGAAAGAAAAAAAGGGCTTTTTCAGTTACATTACGAAACTTTACATGCACCAGAGTACCCAGGCGTTCTTTACCGGGCCGAGTGGTTCCTGGGAGGAGCCGGTGGTYGCCGAGACAGTCACTCCGTGACGTCATGTTAGGTTAGAAAAGAGGAACGCCTAGGGACTAGGCTGATTATTAAGAATTTTGGCAACGCCAGTACGGAAAAGAAATCACCTTTTAAAGCATCGTCAACTTCATCGCACATTTTATACACATCACTACCTTTCCCTTGAAGAATTTCCCCTAAAATATAAATTGATTTTATAATTAACATTAAATAAATGCCTATTGCCCATTGGAGAAAGGTCCTAATTCTTGGGCTTCCTTTGTTATACCAACAAGAACACAGGTAGCCCAAAAGCAGAGAAGCCTACAGAAGGATACTAATCAACTAGCCACTCAACTCACCGTCTAAAGTAGTAAGTTGTGGAAGTACTTCGGAGACACTTTTCTTGTAGTTGCTAGCTGATTGACAAACTGAAATCATACAAAATAAGCCATTTCTAAGTATTGTAAAATCATGTTGTTTTATTCTAATTTTTTCCATTTTATTTAATAAGCTTTCGAAAGCCATCAATTGATGTTTATTTGATGGCTAGTTTCAAAAGGTTGCTGGAAAGAATGTCAAAACACACAAAGTTCAAAATGCAGGAGCAAGCTGTAGAAATCTTAATTTATATAGCACAATTTACTTGGATAATTTGCAATAAATTTACTTTGCATAATTTATTAATCATATATAATATTGTAAGTYCCTAACCTGGATTTGAGTAATTATGGACATCATCTTTCAATCGTAGCTTCCTTAATTTGCTAAGCTTTGACAAACACTTTAGATCCTCAATACTGACGTATKWAAAAAAGGAAAGTCTGAACAAACTGGTATTTCATGTAAAACATGGTTTGTAGTGATGGTACACCACTGCAATAATTGAACATTTTTTTTATATTCTGACCTCATGATCATATTTCCTGCAAGGTTGAGGGATATGAGGCCCTCAAGGTCACTTATTCCATCTGTTGACAAAATAAAGTAGATTGATGATATATCMTTCTACATATGCTAATTTATTGATATGGCATTCACATTCTTTTATTCATTTCTTTATATTTAAAGAAAAGAAACTTAAAGTCGTTGACCATAGTTAGAGGTTCGACTAAAATGGGTCCCTTTCATCATGAACTTGCTGCAATTCAATAATATACCATTAATCATTGGATTACAAATTGTAGTTCAAAGCAATGTTAAAGTTACAAACTCATAAAATACATGTACCTGACTTCCACAGTATATTTCTTCACTTGTTCTCTTATTTATTTATTTTTATTTATTTTTTAAATTTTAAGTCTCATTTTGCATATTCCATTTCTCATCATTTATGTACACAAAATGATTGTAAAAAAACATTACATGCTGTACCTAATGCTGATATATTGTTACAAGACACATCAAGTCTCTCCAACAACTTCAAATCACCTATAGTTAAAACAAAAAAGAAAAGAAGATCTTATAGTTACGGTCGATTTGACATGYTTTAGGGTAAATATTATTGATATTTTTGATAACCAGYGGTCTGAGAGAAACTCTAAAACATCAAGTCTGAAAAGGAGTAAATTACAGTGAAACCCTGTCTAACAGCCCTATTGCCAAATTAAACAGTGACCACATTATAACAGCCAGATGCTCCAGTGAATTAATCACCCTGGCTTATACTGGCAGGTTTTCAAAGTCCTTTAATTTTGACTCTTCTGCATTAAAGGGATTGCATTGTACAGATGATAATAATTCTCAGCAGAAACCTATAAGGGACTTGAAATGTGTAATGCCGTGCCATCCTTTGGAATATTCAAATCTAATTTGCATCTCATTTCCAATTTACCCTATCCAACCAGAATGGTCCTTATATCTTTTATCCAACGGCGGAATTTCCTAATATGGTCATAACATTCGTTTTCGAATTTTCAATGAGCTTTGAATTTCGATGCTTGGTATTAAAAAAAATGTACAGGTGCTACACGTTTCAAGTCCCTTATAGGTTTCTGTTCTCAGTCACCCAAGATTGAACATCATGTTACGATCTTGCAAGATCTTGAAAAAGCCTTTGCAAGCATTCCCAACTTTGAAAGATCATGCCATGACTTTGCAATAATCCTTGCAAGATCATGTCCTAGCTTTTCTGTTAATAACTTGTATTCTAAATTACCCAATGGTTTCAGGCTCTTGATTCTGTTATGTGACAAGTTAAGGTACACCATGCCAGCACAGTTACCAACAATACTTAGGTCTTGTATACCTAAAAATCAAAGGTTCAAGGACTTTAAGGTGATGTTGCAAGCTATGCACACAATTAAAGTATGCAAAAAAACTATGATTGACCTTTGTAGCATTCTCTTAGAAAAATGTGAAGGTTCTTGATTGGAAATGCCTACTAAAATGGGACCTGTTTCATGAGATGATGATGACTGTGGTAGTGATAAAATTTCACCCCAAAAAGGGTCCACTTAATGAGCTGTCATCGTGATTCAGTTTTTTTATTTCATTTGTATTTTGGCAATAATACATTAATTTGAATGTAGCATTGCATTTTAATGTAAGATGACCGGTGAGTTTGCAATGAGCTTTCAAGGAACTTTGAAATAGACAATCGCAAAAAAAAAGTTATTGGAAATTTAAATAAAAAACAGCTCGTCGAGGCTCTTTAAATAAGATAAGCTTATGTTTGCACTTATTTTATACATTAAATAGCTACATTTTTGTGTATTCATAGAAAACACAATCACACTTACCCATGTCACTGAGATCAAGATGATGGATACTCTCAAGGTCAAATTCACCAGATTTTAACTTCAGGAAGTGGGCCGAAACCTCTGTCGGTTGAAGTTATACAATACGGTCAGTCCAGAWAAAGTCCTCAGTTTTGACAAAATACCACACAAATTACCTTCCTTCTTAGCTCTAGTCATTGCTTCTTAGCGGATCTCTTGTTTCTTAGCTCATTTTAGCACTTTAAGCATTATTTCAAGACAAAAACACGTCAAAAACTACCTTCGTTGCACGTTTCCAAGCGTCCGCCATTTTACAACAAAACGTTTCTAGTGCTGAGCCTGCGATACACCTATTCAGCGTTACATTTTCGTGACATAGAAGTCAATGCGTGACAATAGCCGTTAAGCCCCTCCATCCAGTATTCGGGGCTTGCAAACGATGATGGCGGTCAAAATAAACTTTTTTATTCTCTTATTCACATTCTCTATAGCAGAGTACGTTCGTTCTGCTCACATCTTGGGAGTTCCAGTCTACGGAAAAAGCCACGCTTTTGTTTTCATGAAGATTGGTCGGGAACTTGTGAAAAGAGGACATCGATTTTCAATGGTCATTCCTTCTGTCTTTGAGGAGGAATTGAGGCTCAAGGAAACAGCAAAAGGACTACAAGTGGTTTCCTTCAATTGCAACTTCAAACAAGCGGATCTGGAGAGATTGGTGATGATGCAAACCCTAGGTACCAAGCGTAACTATTCGATGAAATCGATTAATCAATAAAATCGATATGTAAGAGTTATGTATGAATCAATTCCATTTGACACGACTTTACCTCCGTACAGTGGGGAATTTGACTCTGATTTAGGAGCAGACGGGCGGGCATTTGACTTT